TTGTATTAAAGAAATTGAATAAATAATTGATCCTCTTTCAAAACAGGAAGTACCAGTCCTAATATTGGTTCACTGGTGAATTTTGATAAACATTTTAAGAAGAAATAAGATCAATTCTCTAAAATATCTTTTATAAAGTACCAGAGAGAATACTTCCTAGCTCATTCTATGAAGTCCGCATTATCCTAACCAAACTAGGTGAAGAGGCTACAGGGCTGAAAAACGGCAGATCAATATATCCCGTGAATATAGATGCAAAAATCCTCATCAAACATAAGTGAATCAAATCCCACAATGTATAAAAATAATTATACAACAGGACCAAATGGAATTTAATCTACCTATACAAGTCTGGCTCAATATTTCAAAATCAAAATAATTCAACATGCTAGAAAAAAAATCAAATGATCATATCAATAGATGTAAAAAAAGCAAGTGACAAAATCCAAGAGCCATTCAAGGTAAAAACCTCAATAAACTAGGAATAAAGAAAAAACATCTTCAGTTTAGTAAAAAAAAATCTACAAATAACCGATAGCTAACATTGTACTTCACTGTGAGACAATAGGTAGCTTCCCACTAAGATTAAGTCAAGGAGGTCACCTCTTGATACTTCTATTCAACATCATATTAAAAGTCCTAACTAAAACAATAAGGCAAGAAACAGAAATAAAAGCTATAAAAGAAGAAATTCTTTAAAAGATAGCTAAATTTGTCACAGATGACATGATTGTCTATGAAGAAAATCTCAAAGAATAAAAAAAAACCTGCTAAAATAAATCATTAAGCAAGGTTGCACATTACAAGGTTAATATACAAAAGTCAATTGTTTCCCTATATATTAGCAATAAGTAATTGGTATTTGAAATTAAGAACACAGCACCATTTACATTAACACCAGCAAAATTAAATACTCAGGTATAAATCGCATAAAATATGTATCAGATCTGTAAGAACAAAATTGCCAAACTCTGATGAAGACATCAAGGAATATCGAGGTAAATGGAGAGATATTCCATGTACATGGATAGGAGGATTCAATATTGTCAAAATATCAGTTCCTCCTAACTTGAGAGATTCAATACAATCTCAGTCAAAAGGCCAGCATGTTACTTTGTAAATATTTACAAACTACTTTGGAGCTTACATAAAGAGGCAAAAGACCCCAAATCATCAATATGATATTGAAGGAAAAGACAAAAATTGGAAGATTGACAATGGCAGATTTCAAGACCTACTATAAAGCTCTAATAATCAAGACAGTGTGATATTTGTGACAGAACTGACCAACATATCAATGAAACAGAATAGTGAGCCCAGAAACAGATACACTCAAATACAGTCAACAGATCTTTAACAATGGATAGAGAACAAACATGTGGATACCAAGGATGGAAGGGGGAGGGGGATAAATTGAGAGATTGGGATTGACAAATTTACACTACTATGTATAAAATAGACAACTAAAGGGAATCTACTGTATAGGTCGGGGAACTCTATTCAGTGCTTTGTGGTGACCTAAATGGAAAGGAAATAAGAGGATATATTATATCCTCTTATTATAGGATATATATATATATATATATCTGATTCACTTTGCTGTAGAGTAGAAACTAACACAACATTTTAAAGGATCTATACTACAATAAAATTAATTAAAAAGTGGAATAAGGATAACTCAATGTTGATAGTCTTTTCAACAAATGATGTTGAACAAATGGATATCAATCTGCAAAAAATTTTTTTAAATGTCTAGATATAGATCTTATGCCTTCACAGATATTAACTAAAAATGGAGCACAGATCTAAATGCAAAACACAAAACTATTGAAAAGCTAGGAAAAAAAAAGAAAAGCTAGAGAAATAATTAGAGAAAATATTGGTAAGCTTGGGTTGGGTAATATTTTTAGATTTAATGCCAAAAGCACAGTCCATGGAAGAAAAAAATTGATAAGCTGGACTTGATTAAAATTAGAAGCTTCTGCTCTCCGATGCTGTTAAGACAAGCCAAAATTAAGAAAAAAAAAACCTGCAAAAGACATATGTGATAAATGACTGGTATCCAAAATATATAAAGAAATTTTGAAGTTCAACAATAAGAAAATGCACAACCCAGTTAAAAAATGGGCAAGAGACCTGAACAGACACCTCATCAAGAACAGTATATAAATGGAAAATAAGCATATGAAAAAATACTCAACATTGTATGTCATCAGGGAATTGAAATTAAAACAAGATAGCATCACATATTTCTAATACACTAGAATTCAAAACACTGACAATACCAAATCCTGGCAAGGACTGTTCCATGTCATGAGCTTTCATTCACTGCTGGAGGGAAAGTAAAATGGCACAGCCATTCTGGAAGACAGTGCGGTAGTTTCTTATGAAAATAAACATACTCTTACATGTGATCTAGCAATTTTGCTTCATGATATTTACCCAAATGAGTTAAAAAAACAAACAAACAGTAGATTTATTTGTAGTTGCCACAACTTGGAGGCAAGTGGGATTTCCTTCAATTGGTGAGTAGTTTAAAAAAAAAAATCCTATATCCAGACAATGGAATATTACTCAGTGATAGAAAGAAATAAGCTACTGAGCCATGAAAAAACATTAAGGAAGTTTAAATGTATATTGTTAAGGCAATAAAGCCAATCTGAAAAGGCTTCAAACTGTATGACTCTAACTATACGACATTCTGGAAAAGGCAAAACTATGGAGACAGTAAAAAGATCAGTGGTTGCCAGGGGTTTAGCGGATAGGAAAGGAGGGATAAATAAGCAGAGCACAGATGATTTTTAAAGCAGTGAAACTATTCTCTATGATACTGTAATGGTAGATATATACCATTACATATTTTTAAAAAGTTATAGAATGTAAAACACAGAGTGAATGCTAATGTAAACTGAGGAATTTACTAAATAATAATGTAATAAGTATTAGCTTATCAACTATAACAAACATACTACACGGATGCATGATGTAAACAGCAGGGGAAACTGCTGGGGAGCTATAAAGTACATGGGATTATAGGATAACTCTATGTATTTTCCATCCACTTTTTCTGTAAACTTAAAGCTGACAAAATCTATTAATTAAACAAATGAATAAGGTTTCTAAACCCTTAAACATTACTTTCAATATCCTACTTCCTTGTTAACATGTATCAAATGTATACTCTGTCTGACTTTCAAGGATTTTGTAATCTTCCATTTAACCAATTCGGCATAATTTTAATAATTTCTAAGTGATATCTTCCATTGAAGGAATGTAGACTAGATGCCTCATGATCCCCATAAATAAATTATATTCATCCTGAATATTTTTTTCACTGTTGCTGTTTTTCCTTTAAAATTCTTTCATCTCCCTTCTGCTGATCTAATGATCCTACACCTTAAGATTTTTCTCTCCCATAAAAACATCCTCAAAGACAGTGAGCTTTTAGTAACCTTCTTCTCTTATTATAACTATAGTTTATACCACAAAATAAAGGACCACACTGTATCTTTACTATCGTGTTGCTGTGATTCTCATAGGTAATAGTGCTGTCAACTAGATGGTAAGTTTATTACAATTTTTATTACAGAGTGGAAGAATCTGCCATCTCAAAATATGCCACTCTGGAAGAATTAAGGGCCCATGAAAAACAGCAGGCACAAATCTGCTCTGACTTCCCCTTTTCTTCCAGAAAGCAGAACTAAAACTCCCATGTGAACGATGCCCTTGCTACACCAGGAAGAAAGAACAGTCTCATCACCAGAGATAAGGAGTAGAGACTGAGAGAAATCTGTACAAACAGACCCTGTTAAAAGAACTCATCTTCTTTAGCCTCCCCACATATTTTCGGTACATTTTCACAGCTGCCTCTCTTTGTTCAACCAAGTACAAAAGCACTTAGGTTTCACTACTTCTTCAGGTCTTCATTTCTTTATGAAGGCTCCCATGTCACATAAATCTTACATTAAAAAAATGTGTATCCTTTTATCCTGTTAATCTATCTTATGTTGGTTTAATTCAAAGGCCCAACCAAAGACACCAAAAGGGCAGAGGTAATGTTTTATCTCCCCTACAATATCTTTCAAGTTTTACCCACAGCATTTTAGCAATTAATAGAAGTTTATAACGGAATGAGTCCTAGGATATTATTTCAGCTTTTCTAGTAATCCAAGAATACCTGTATAATAATGAGTGCATCCTCCAAGAACAAGGAGAAATGACATTCTAAGATCAGGAAACACCCTTGAAAAGCTGACAATGAAATGTTTAAAGATTTCTTAAGCTACACATCAGACTTACACTTTGGAAGAGGAACCAAATGTTGAAAATATAATACATGATATAAAAGATATCACTAAGCTCTATAAAAATATCACATAATCTGATGTATTAATATTAAAAAAAAGACACTAATATACTTGGGAAGGCACTGAAAACATTAAACCTCACACAGTCATGCAATACATAACATCTAGTGTCATAAGCCATAAGTGAGAAAGTTTGGTTTCTTGATTGTCAGTATCAGTACCCCCATGAGCTATCTTCATTCAAAGTTACAGTAAGAACCTTTATACTAACAAGGGGTAGATACAGTCTACCAGCTTAGAATCCTTATTTGCTGCACTACAATTTCAACAGGTTGGCAAGAGTAGGAGAATGATTGGTATTACTATTCCAAAGCGTTTGCCATAAGCTGGGCTGAAGCAGAGTGGAAAGGAAAAACTCCGAGATATAAGAGAATATTATCAAAATATTATAGACTACTATATAATTAAAAACTACTGGGAAATTAAGTACTCAGAAATGGCATGGTCAGGAGTACCATTCCCAAGCTTGAAAAGCTCCGATTACATATCAGTCTTTTCAATCACAGAAAGATGGCAACCATCAATGTGTTGCTATAAACATGAAGACCAATTAGTAGCAAATTTTCACACAAGATATTATTATTAATAACAAATTTAACATAGTCTGGCTTAAATTTTTAATGGGATACTTACCTTGCAGAATTTGACTTCTGCCTCTAAATGATAAATGTACTGAGACTGGTCATTGATGATAGGAACAAGATTGTGGACAGTAGGCATATTGGTTTCCTCACATTCTGATGACCTCTAAGGCAAAAATGAAAACAAATGAAGCATGTTTGGATTTAGCAAAGAATCAGTTAATACCATCTCCATACTCAATTTAGCACTTATGTCATATAAACATAGAATGAACATAAACTAAATCACAGTGCAGCTAACAGTATTATTTCATCTTATAAATTCTATAAATAGATAAGATTCAGGAATATGAAAACTATTTTTTAAAGAGGGAAAAGGAAAATGGTTGTAAAAAGCACACAGCAAATGGAAAAATGCTCGAGTAGTATAATTTGGCTCGGGATGAACCACCCATTTGAGCCATCTGGAAATGTGACGTGCTATTCAGTAATTCTCAGATAAAGGGACAGCTTTTTAAGAAATCACCATAGAAGAGGGCTGCTAGCTAAAACCGTAGAACAGCTGCCTGAAGAAGGGATTCTTTAGACAAGTGTCTGATGCCAAATGTGTGTCACTGAGGTAAAATTTTATCTACAAAGAAGTACATTAGCAAAACCTGGTTTTTTATTTTTGACCCTAATACTTAAGGCAATTGGGAGACTATGCTGTTCTGGAGCCTCCAGGACTAGAGTGCTAAAGCAGATATACATGAAAGTGAGACATTGCATTGAGGACTTTAGAAAAAAAAAGTTAATTCTCCTTACTTTTGCAGCAGTCCTGTAATTGATTTTTAATATCCATCTTACCTTATCCTAAAATGACTGTAAAATGGTTTATAAATCATATATCATCCACTCCAGTATTCTTGCCTGGAGAATACAACGGACAGAAGAGCCTGGTGGGCCACAGTCCATGGGGTCGCAAGCAGTCAGACACGACTGAGTGACTAACGCTACTACCATGATATTATTTAAAGAAAAGAGGGTTAGGACAAGGGAAAATGAAAGTCTACCAGTTAGATGAATCCAGAGGAAAGTTTGAGGTGAGACACACAACCATTTTGTTTTTCAACACAGCAGAAATTCCTATAAATGATGAAGTACCAGCTCTCATGGCAGAATAATTAAGTAGAGCTTTGCTTCTGGCCACATTTAATAAATTTAAAACCAAAAGACATGTTAATTAAATGAATTATCTGTGATAAGTAGAAAGCAACTAATTATAATAATTAATATTAATAGAAAGGGGTTCGGTGCATAGGCAAATATAAATTATTACTATGTGTATACATAGGGCAAAATCAATATGAAAATTAAAAACAAGCTAGTATCATGTGGAAAATGTTCATATAAAATCACTTGTATGTTTATCATAGTTTGACTGTCCATATTTTAAAATAATAAGTAATAATGTTTAGACATATTTTCTACCTCAGCACTGCCTCATTTCACTCTTAATACAGCCACATATTTCTCATATGTCATATTGGCTATGAAACTGCATTCTAAGGGGTACAGTCTTCAAAAGCTACTTATTATTATAGTTTGTAATCATCATGTATAGGTTGTATACATTTAGAGTCTAAGTTCCATTCTTTCACATAGAGCCAATATAAATAGACCTGTGTATTGGCATATACTGTATATATTGAACTGATCATCTTGATGAGTCTTCTTACTTACCTAAAGTCAATCAGTTTTGCAATATCACTGCTCAGTAATATCTTAAAAATGCTAAGAAGCATGTCTGAGCATTCAACAGATAAAGAAACTTAATCTATTACACTTAAAAGAACTCTATCCATATGTGCTTAGGAGCATTCTAGAAACTAGGCGTAAACAGTAATAAATTCACTGAATAATGAAATATTTTATCAAAATTACAGTTTATATCTATAAATATTGAATAGGAACATGTAGTCCATTTCTCTAAAGTGGGAATTAAGCATGAAAGTCTGTGTCAGGCTGGAATGAAGTGTTAATATGGGGGTACTCCTAGGACATTTTAGCTGTGAGTAATGGAAACTGACATGTCTTCAAGTTTTCAGCATGCAGCCTGGGTATCCAACAGTCACAGACATTGAAAATGCAAGGTGGTTATTGTTGCCATGGCATTTTATATTTGTGCCATATTTCATAGGTTTCCAAAGAATTTAAAATATGTGATCTTACCTTATTACTATAAAAACCCTGTGAGAGAGTACATGATAGACCCTAGATCACCCTAAAGCATACACTATTATTTTGACCATTTAAACCTGGCCAAATCCTTACTTCACAGTACCCTTTCTCTACAGAACGCTTCCCTCCCACCCACCTTCTCCTCACATATACCCTTCCCTCACAGTACTCTCCCTCACTTCCACCCTTCCTCCACATCTATCTCAGGCTTTATATCACACTGCTTCAGTCAGAAATAATATGCTCCATTAAAGCAATAGCAGTAGAAAACAGCTGCAGAAGAAATAGAATACAGTTTCTCATATCACACAATTTTATAACTATGTATTTTTTAATGTAGAAAAAGATTACATGCTTCAAATTTAACATTTAACATAAACAAAGGACAGCCAGAATTAGAAAGTAAATTCTAAAAATAATAAAAATACAGATATGCCCCTCTATAAAAGCAATGGTTAGGGACTTGGTGGTCCAGTGGTTAAGAATCCACCTTTCTTTCTTTTTTTAACTATTTATTTTTAAAATGTATTTATTTATTTTAATTGAAGGATAATTACTTTACAATACTGTGATGGCTTCTGCCATACATCAACATGAATCAGCCATAGGTATACATATGTTCGCCGCATCCTGAAACCCCCTCCCACCTCCCTCACCAACCCCACTCCTCCAGGTCGTCACAGAACACTGGCCCTGGGGGCTCCGCTTCAAGCATCCAACTCGCACTGGTCATCCATTCTACATATGGCATATGGTAATGTACACGTTTCAATGCTATTCTCTCAAATCATCCCACCTTCTTCTTCTCTCACTGAGCCCAGAAATCTGTTTTTTATGTCTGTGTCTCCTTTGCTGCCCTGTGTGTAGGATCGTTGGTACCATTCTTCTAGAAGAATCTGCATTTCAATACAAGGGATGCTGGTTCGATCCTTGGAAGGGGAACTAAGATCCCAAATGGCCCTGGGCAGCTAAGCCCACAAGCCACAAGCACTGAGCCCTCACCTGCCACAACTAGAAAGAAGCCTGCATACCGAATGAAAGATCCTGCTTACTACAACAAAGACTTTGCGTGCCACAGCTAAGACCCGAAGCAGCCAAAAATAAATGAGTAATAATAGTAATAAATACTAAAAAAAAACAATGGTTACTCTTTCCCATATATTGTTCCTTTAAAAAAAAATATTTGCTAACAGTTGCAAAGTAAATTCTCCAAACTATTTCCTCACTCACATTTTTCAAGTGAATAATAAATTAAAAAATCAGAATCCCCTCTTCCATGGAAGTCTCTTCTTTGGTCAAAATAATTATCAGAGGGAAGATCATTTCTTTTAACACTTTCTACTATTAGCATGTCCAGCTCAGAATCTGTTTAACACATGTACTACTAAAATGACACACAAAATTAAAACATAGTTAGAAAAATAATGCTTTTGTTAGGTTGTAAACAGTGATACTTACCAAAGAGGATGTTTCTTGTCTTCCTAGAGATACCTCACTTTCCTTGGTTGCTTGTTGGCGCAACAAAGCTTTGAGTTGATTAACTATGGAGCAAAAGCAATAGGTTTATTCACCTTATTTTAAATCCATAGTTTATCATCACCTATCTATCCTTCCATCAATCTAACAAATATTTGTGTATTATGCATCACAAAATGTGCTTTTGACAGACACAAAAACAAACATAAGAAAATCTCTATTATTTAAGAGGTAAGAATCCACTGAGCAAGAGGTATATAACTAACAGATATAAAACAAGATTATAAGCTCTAAATCTACCTATAAGAAGCTCTAGGTCTGCCTATAATGCTGTAAGAAGAGGAAGCACGTAACTGTGCCTGTTTTCACAGAGAAGAGAGTGTGAAGGATGTACAGGAGATCACATGCAGAAAAGGGTGAGAAAAAACCAGTTTGAACACATGGCTCATGCAAAGCAGAGAAGCACGGCCATAGGGTGGCATGAGTAGAACATGGCTTGCAAGACGAATAGTTGAAAGGAAGATAGAAAAATTAGGCTGGAGAGGCAGCTTGGAATTGCCTTAAGAAAACACTGCTTTGACATCCTATAGGCATAGGGAAGTCAAAGGGGGGAAAAAAGCAACGGAACTAGATTAGCTGCTTTGTGTTTCTTGACTAAAATCCTAGCAGCAGAGGACAGGCTGGCGTCTTTACTATATGGAGTTCAAAGAATTCACTGTGTGTCATTCAGGTTAGGACTGACATTCACACTCACCGGCATGGCTGTGTTGTAGTTCACGCCAGGCATTTCCAGCATCCTCATTTCCTACACTGGTATTAAAAGAAGGATCCAGCATATCTTCTCCAACGGTGACATCACCTTCTCTCAGGGCACATTTCAACTGGTGAATGCTTCTATTTGCACGTTCTGCAATAGCATGATGAAAATCAGAGCCAGTGAAATCTGGGTGACCAAATGAACATGGACCTGAGAAGACAATTTCTAAAGGAAAAGCAATCATTTCTGATACTTTGTGGGAGAAAAAATAGCAAAGCTTTGCTTCTAGCTTACTGAGGAACATGCCAGAGGAAATGTGAGATTAAGTTCATGGGGCAGAGGTTAGACTTAATGATCTCTAAGCTCCCGGACACCACTGTGATTGGCATTCACTGTATATAGCTCTATTGCCAAGGAGGACTGAATGGAAGAGCTTTTCCCCTCTTCACTCTCCCAAACTATAATCTCACAGGGGAGGCAATATCCTGACTCCTCAGTGCCTAAGACTCCCCTACACCTTTTGGCATGGTGTGGATAGGCAAGACTGGCAAGAGGGATTCCACCACATCGAAGTTCCTACCCAAAGAAGCCTCCTTGTCCCTGTGAGCCACATGGCCCTCTAGCATCAAGACAGCTGACCACCTGGCCTAGTTTTGATCAAGGTTTGAATAGCTGATGTGCTTAGAGTGGTATAGTTGTACTTATATACTGTACTTAGTATAGTTGTACTTACATACTGCTGGCTGACTACATCTTACGTAGAAATTCTCGGTTACTATGCCTGATTACTCTTAGAATTGAAGTTTAAACTTATTACCACATACTAAACATAAATAGTCTAAAATTAAGTATTTTAAGGTATATTACTCTAGTAGTTCATCTCTAAAAACAGACCCAAAGAACTCACCCTTACATCCTTGTGCTCTCCCAAATTGAAACTTAGTGGACCTGTAACCTACACTCAAAAAGAGAATGCACTGGAACGCACATGACGCCTGACCCGTCACATCTTTAAAATGTTCGGTAGACAAAAACCACTACAATATTGTAATTAGCCTCCAACTAATAAAAATAAGTGGAAAAAAAAATGTTCGGTACCTTCTGCTTCTACCCTCTTGGAATGTTGGTTTTTGTGAGCCCTAAGCCACTAAGTAGGAAGTCTGGCTACCCTGCTAGAGAGACTCTGAAGAGGCCATGTGGAAAGGAGAGGCTCTGAGATCACCACACGGAGAAAGAAGAAGCCCAACCCCACTAACAGTCTGGCAGTCTCCTGGTGACTCCAGCGCCAGAGGTCATCTACCCACGATGCATGGGAGAGACTCGAAAACTGCCCAGCTGCAGTCTGGTAAAACCACAGAGCTGTGAGAGACACTAAAAACGCTTTTGGTTGTTGGTTTCTGCCATCAAGCTTTAGAGTGACTTGTGTGTGTGTGTGTGTGTGTGTGTGTGTGTGTGTGTGTGCGTGTGTGTGTGTGTACGCGCTTAATTGCTCAGTCATGTCCAACTCTTTGCAATCCCATGGACTGTAGCCTGCCAGGCTCCTCTGTCCATGGGAATTCTCTGGGTAAGAATACTGGAGTGGGTTGTGCTTGTTAAGCAACAAAAGGTAACTGAAATAATTATTCAGTGAAATACTCATCCAAAAACACCTTTTACCATGGCTAATTCATTTCAATGTATGACAAAACCACTGCAATGATGTAAAGTAATTAGCCTCCAACTAATAAAAATAAATGGAAAAAAAAAACAACAAAAAAACAAAAATACCTTTAGCAAAGGATCCAAGTCCTACATTAATAACAGAACTACATACTAATATAGTAATGATACTGGGCATGTGTGCTCAGTCGCTACAGTTGTGTCTTTTTCGTGACCCTATGGACCATAGCTCTCCAGGGTCCTCTGTCCATGGGATTCTCCAGGCAAGAATACCGGAGTGGGTTGCCATGCCCTCCTCCAGGGGATCTTCCCCACCCAAGATCATACTTGCATCTACTGCATTGCAGGCAGATTCTTTACATCTGAGCCACTGCGGATGCCCCAGTAATGATACTACATTATATGTTAATATACTAATTACTATATATATAAACTATATATAATATAGTATACTATAGTATACTAATGACACTAGACATGACATTACTAATAACTCTATCTTGTTTTATGGATTTTTTTACATGTATGACAACTGGAGAATCAGACAATTGATGGGTAATTTCATTAGTTAAAGACCAGATACTTTTTCAGGTTTAAACTTGTTACTTTTGCTAATCTCTTATAATTAATTCTCCAGTTTCAATCTAGAAACATTAACTGTAACAAAAAATGTTCCTTTTACATTAGAGCTGAGACCCAGGTTTCAGTCATCATTTTTAAATGTTGACATCTGTATTTGAAAGTTATCTTTAATTCATTTATTTATTAAATATTTATATATAGCTAACATAGAAATTTATGTTAGAAAAAGATGAATTCCCATGCAAGTTCATGTACAGCTATTATCTATCTCAAATGGATTCCATCAAAAGAATTCTTAACATCTTCAGAGGAGAACTTTTTCTAAGTAAAATCTTTCCCTAATTCAGAGCAATGCATAACAATAACACCAATGAAGTTCTTTCTTCTGATCTAGGCCCTTTCTTGACAAGTTAGATCTACTTCTGTATTCAGGAGAAAAAGCTCCTCATCTTTAATACCTACAAGAGAACCCTAAGAAAGCTATAAAAATGAAAAAGCTTTTCATTACCAATCATGGATGAAAATATATTTACAAATATATAGTCTACAGGACCTTGAAAAATACATTCTATTTCCTTTAAGCTCATTAATTTGAATGTGTGAAACAGACAAAAATATCATAACTTAATAGAAAAAAATATTCTCTATCTTACAAAATCTCTAATATAGGTCCTTCACTTACAGCAACTCATTTTCCCCTTGAGTAAATTAACAAAAATAGGTCTTTTAGGTCAGGGTTCAGTAATCTACACAAGAGACCCAATAAATTTATCTCTGCAATTTTCTCCTCACCAATCCTATTTCCACACAGACCTTTCTCTGACTGGAATTTGGTATTGATAACTAACCAAGCCTGGCCTCCTTTTATACCTCATGAGTTTTGAAAAGTCTAGATAAGATGCATTCCTGGTTTCAGTAAAATGAGAAGCAGCAATAGTTCTTTTTTGTTTTTTTTTTTTACTAACTCAGTATTTTCTAAAGAGATTTGTTAAAGGATAAGGAAAAATCGAAGTGTTACATGATAAGCAATTTAGTTCACACAGTTTTGGACTTATGCACTGATACCTATGAATAAAGCACTTATCTTTACTGCATCCATTAAAACGAAACAAAGGGTTTGAATTACACTAAAAGTAGGCTCTGTGGAGCCATCAAATGACTTCATCTATAAGACAAAGGATAATTACTTATTTATACTTAATCTGACTAAAAGCTAACAAGCTATATTAGGAAAAGGAAAGGAAATTGAAAAAAAATGTATAATTGAAAATTCCTATAGGTAGAGTTCTTTCATTAGCTTACAATAATGGGAGAGTTTTATGAGGCCATTTAATCCCTTTCCTGATACTCCTGTTTAATCTTTTAGAATTTTTATCATTTAAAGACTATGTGTTAAACTCTACTATGAAAATAGTATTATGTGAAATACTAATATATCGAACTCAACAGCCATCCCACTTTTCTTAGTGATTATACAAGGTCTGGGGTTTTTTTTGCAATGAATGACTTCAGTTGCTAGGGTCAGAGATGAAGAGAAGGAATTTACAAGAACTGTATCCTGAAACTAAAACTAAGGAGGTAAGTGATATTTTAAAGTCATTCCAAGACTACATTTTAAAACATGCTAAATGCTTTTCAAATATATACATTCGAACATAATTATATACACTGCAACAGACAAACAGAATTAATCCCTTGGAATAACAACACTCAGATCTTTGAAGACAGACGAAACCCCTTTGCTTTTCAACTGGAGCCATTGCAACTGGTCTCATAATCCTTATTAAGAACCCTACTCCCCAGATGCCATTAACTGCTGCTTCTTGTTGTTTAGTTACTAAGTCATTTCCGACTCTTTTGCAACCCCTTGGACAGTAGCCTGCCATGTTCCTGAGGATGGGATTTCCCAGGGAAGAAGAGTGGAGTGGGTTGCCATGTCCTTCACCAGGGGATCTTCCTGATCCAAAGATAGAACCTGCATCTCCCGCATTGGCAGGCACATTCTTTACCACTGAGCCACCAGGGAAGCCCTAACCCCATTCTGCTTACATGTAAGGAAACCAGATTAGATAGGAGGTTCCAGTTAGGGTTTCCCATCCCACTGTTAATGGGCATAGCTTTATCCTCAAGAGTGGGGAAGAATACTCAGTTCCTCTTCTCTCCTGAGAGGATAGTAACAGATTTCATGATACATCCTGATTTCTTCTTCCCTGCATCAACCACAGGCTGAATACAAACTTAATTACAAATACAAACAGAAATACAACCTCTGAGTCCTACAGAATCGCATGAACATAAACATAAGTAATATTTCTGCTAGTCCACTATCCAAATATCAATCAATACAATGAGCACTGAAAAGGTTTTTAAGCTCCTGACTGCCAACAAATTTGTCTGTTTCATTCATTTTTGTAATCTAGTTGTTCTACTTTCCAGCTGCTAGCTCAACACCGAGCCTCTCTTCATCAAGATGTTTTTGAACAAAAAGGAAAATACGTCCCTGTATACCAAGGATCATCACTTACATACATACTGTGAATTATTAATGTCTACATTCTCCATCTGTAATGAGAATTATCCTGGTGACAAGGAGGCAGAACCGCACCCAATGAAGTGCCCAGCTGTCTCTGGGAAAACAAGCAGTGAACCATACCTCCCCAGGCTAAGCATGAGGCGAGCTGCAATGCTCAAAACAAGCTTAGATCTGGGCAGACAAGCAGAAAAATGAAACCACACCCAGATGAGATGATGTCCATCCACACTTGACTGGGTCTCAGCTGGTTCAGGGGATTCTTGTCACTGTTTATTGGGGGACTGACAATTAGTGTGACCAAGATGAAGACAGCATTAATCCAAAATTAGAAAAACCAGCTTTGTAACTGGCAATTACAATGATTAAAGAGACTAAA